ATATATAGGAGTTGCTGTGTGCTTAACCACTGTTTCACCAGGCACCTTATGTAGCAGATAAATGTCTCAGATGTTGTCAGCTTAAGTGATTTTTTGTTCACATTTGATCTGTGTGGGAGTCTTTGGCGACCTTTCTTCTCTTCATTCTCTTTCAGTTCTCTCTTACCCTGCTGCTCTCTGCTGGGGAAAGCGGCCCCTTTGTAGACCTGAGCGTGGTCCACTGCCAGGTCCTTCCTGTCCTGGAGGACAGGTCACGTCAGGGCTTTGGAGCCCAGCTCGCTGACCATAGGACTCAATGTGACTGCTTCAGAGTCACTGTCGTAATGGTGTTCTTTCCACCTGTCGACTTGGAGAAAACAAGTCAGTTGTTAGGAAAATCCCCTCGTAACTCCTCGCCGTATAACCCAGAGGAGGCATACAGGCGTGCCTTCGAAATCGTTGCGGATTCAGTGCCTGACCACCCTGATAAAGCCAAGATTACACTCAAGTGAGACACACATGTGGTTTTGGTTTCCCTGTGCATGTAAAAGTGATGTCACTCTCATGTTTGAAGTGTGCTGTTATTGCATGATTTAAAAGTTTAAAAATATTATCAGAATGGTCACAATCGGATGCAGGGACTCTAAGTGAGCACAGGCTCTTAGAACATGCTGGACGCAGGCTGGTCACAGAGCATCCATTCGTTACAAAACAAAGCTTTGTCTCTGGGAAGTGTGATAAACCGTAGCCCAGTGAAGCGAATTCTGTCTCAGTTATCTTCTTTCTTGCTCCTTGAAGATCAAGTCTTTTATGATCAAAGCTTTAAAAAAAATGACAAGCTTAACGAGCTGATGAAAGCAGAGGACATCAACAAACCACCTGATAAAACGTAGGAACTAAGTGAACGGAGGGAAGAAGAAATCTGTGACGGCTCTCACGTCAGAGAGCAGTTTACTGCTTTTCAGGAGCTCTGTCTTTTCCTGCACGCGCTCAAACTAGGAAGTGTACGGGGCGTACGGACAGTGGGGTGTTGCCACGGGGTGGCTTTGAGACGAGGGTATTAAGAAAGGACAAGCCCAAGCTGACAGGGTGGTCTGGTACATCTGTCAACCACAACCCACCACGTCTCAGAGGTGGTACCCTTGAGAACTTCTTTCACCTTTTTCTGCCTCGATGTCAGTGCCAGATGACGTCAGGTTGTTTTTTTACAAGCATTCTCTAGTTCCCATTATGGTCCTTCCGTATGAAATGGCTTCTTTTCAAGTATGATCGTGCACTGCTCCTTCCTATTTTAACAGTTCAGTACGCGTCCTCTGAGTGCTACAGTCAAAGTGATAAGAAGAAAAACAACGCAAAAAGTATGATTTCGCCTCACAAAACCTTATTTCTCATGTATACAACCTTTTTTCCTGATGTTGTTGTTGGTAAGTGCCATTGAGTTGGTTCTGATTCATAGTGAGCCTTTATAGGGTTTCCAAAGAGCAGCTGATGGGTTTGAACCACCAACCTTGCAGTTTGCAGTCCAGTGCTGATCCTACAGCACCAGCCCGGAATCCTGCATTTTTCCCTGATAAATGGGGGGAAATCTTTGCATGTAGTACATACTGGATGCTTTCTGTGATCATACTTCTGGGTTTAGACTTAGTTCTGGGTCTGGGAACCCATGGGCTAGAATCACCAGTGTTTCACAGGTGGGGACACAGGATACCAGGAGCGGAAGTGACTTCAGGCTGGTGGCTCAGCTGGGTCAACGTGTGGGCAACCTGTCAGCTACTCCATCTCTCTTTCTGTGACCATCCTGCCCTCAACTGCATTTGATTTGTCAATAAAAACAGTGAGACTACTTACATCAAGAACTCGAGCTTGAAGAAGACAACAGTACTCCCCACCCCCAGGTTTGATCTCATTTGGAGGGAGACGTTATTCTTAAAGTAACGAACAGCTTGACCACAGAATACTTCTATACCACATCATTTTGAGGTCAGAAGCATTCTTCTGAAGAAAGGGCTTTTCAAAGTGTCATTGATTTTCTGCTACTGAGAGTGGTATGCCTTTCAGGTACTTTGAACAAACTCCTGTACTTAGACTCTCTTTCTCTTTTCTAGGGAAGTGAAGAATCATTTAAACTATGAACACCGTGTATTTCATAGTGAGGAATTTCTGAAAACAAGAGCCCCAGGGGACCAGCAGTTTTATAAACAGGTGAGGCGTACGTGATCAATTCTTTACCTTTTCTGTCCTGGAAGGAGTCTTCAGAACAAGTGTTTTCAGCATCTCTGAGTGTGACGTTGATTTTTGTCAGCATTTCCGAAAAGTTTACCGCTCAACTCTGAGCACGGTTTCCTTTTTCTTTTTGTCTTGGTGAAATACACATAACATAAAATGCATCATTGTTGCCATTGTAAAGCATACGGGTCAGCGATAGTAAGCACACGGAAGTGCACGGATGGCGCCGGACCGGGTGGTGTTTCGTTCTGTTGGCCATGTAAAGTCACTACAAGTCAGAACCCAAACAGTGGCCCTTGGCAGCAATGGTACCAGATTCCCAGTGATGGCCCGCCACCGCTACCTCAGCATGAAGCATTTCCACCGTATCACTCTGTCTGCACCACTTATCCCTGGGACTACCAGTTCTTTCTGAGTTGCGGGATTCACTTCTGCTTTTTGTAGCAATCCCACATTCTCTCTCTCCATATTAATAATTCATTTTATTTCTGGCAAAAATCTGCACAGCAAAACCCACTCCCATCAGCAGTGTCCTGACATCCTGATCAGTTGTACCGGTGAAGGTCTTCACATTGTGCCTACATCCACCTCATCTCTGGTCTCATCTCGGAAGGTCTTCAC